GCTTTTTGACAAGTTTAAAGTTTCTTTAAAATACATTCAAAATGTTTTAAAAATAAACTACAAAAAGTGAAAATTAAAATATAGCCGTATCTGCAACTGTATTTGATAATGTTTTGAACTTTTAAAATATTGCTTGGTAGAACCAGAACAGCACTTTATATTATGTTCACATCAGTTACTTTCATTTTTGCCTTTTACTTTTCATTTAAAATGTTTCCATTCTCGGCAGGTTTCTAAGGTTCTTCTTCATATTAAAAAAAGTTGTTAAACAACTGAGTGGCGCACTACTGCTACTAGTGGTGAAAAATTGTATTGCACCCTATTCAAAATCAATGCGGTCCCACGGCCCAAAGTAAAAAACTGTTGTTCTTTTGAGGCCCTCAAGGTGGTGCTCGCGGCCCAATAGGTTAAGAAGCTCTGCCTGAAAGTACTTTACACTTACATTAACATTACAGTCATTCACCCATTCACACACACACATTCATTCACACACTGATGGTGGTAAGCATTGTAGCCACAGCTGCCCTGGGGTACACCAATGGAGGCCATGCAGTGGCGCCACCGGACCCTCTGACCAGGTAAAATGTCTTGCCCAAGGACACAACAACTTAGATGGCCAGAATGGGGGATCGAACTGGCAACTCTCCGGTTACAGGACAACTTCCCCTAACCACTCCGCCACAGCCGCCCCAAGTAATAATAGTAACAATAGGAAAAATAGAGGGCTGGGTGTCACTGCTGACTGTCAGAATCAATTGATCACTGAATGGCACATGTGTTTTATGTCTATAGCAGCATTCAAAGCAGGCCCGTATAAAATAATTTAAATAAAATAAAATAAAACAAAAATACTGCAAAACCAACTTGCTGCCAACTCATATTGATAATGTTGCTGAAAACTCACATTACATGTAAACATTTTAATACCTGAACGATGTGACTCATGAAAAACACCCTGCTTCCACTGTAGGATGTCTAAATGTGACGTCTAATGAGTTAGTATGCAGCTGTCTCTTGATACTAGGGTGTCAGATTTCCTGTCTCAACCGTCTGTGCTGACCTCTGCTAGGGGAGAGGCACCTGGTCTTACAGAAATATGTTAATATGTCCACATCCGCCAACGCAATTTCGTAACCGTCTCCATCTTTTTGTGTTTTCATCATTAAACAAAGCTGACTTTGTAAAACTTGTCAACATAGTCTTTTCTTTGGAAGATGTATTTTACCCATAATTAGTCCAAACACATCTAAAAGATTACTTAATCTTGGAAAATACACCATACAGATCTAAAAAATAAATTGCTGAACCCAAAAATGCTCACCTCCATCGGTCGCTCCACCTGTATCCATTGATGGATTCTTGCCAGGCGATGGTAAAGCATCCGCAGGAAAAGGTTTCTCTTTGACCAGAGTCACCAGCCTCTGAAGCTCCTCAGGAGACTGAGATTGTGAAGCACATCAAACAAGTGACACAACTTAGACCTTCGTGTTTTTTCACCCATTTCTAATTAGTGCATCTCAAGTTCATAAGAATCAGTCGTGTTATTAATCTCCTTTGTCTTACCAGTTTTAAGAGGTCATCGTTGCCCCCAACATGAACGCAGTTAAAGAAGATTTGAGGTACGGTGCTGCGTCCTGTCAGCTCCTTCAACTTCTCCCTCAGCTCTGAATGACTGCCAACATCCACGTCATGTACCGGTACCCCCAAGCGCCTGAGGGTGGCCTTGGCCTGCACACAGTGTGGGCAGCCCTGGATAGAGTACACCGTTACCCGGCCTGGAGCGCTGCTCTCAGACTCATCCATCTGCAGCAAAAAATATACTTTCACTTCTTGTGTTATACTGAGCATATAAGAGTAACAATTGGTTTCTCATTGAATTACTGCATTTTTAATTAGGGCTGTGTATTGGCAAGAATTTGGCGATACAATACATATCATGACAGAGGGGGCACGATACGATATATCTCGATATATTGCGATACAATAAGCAAGGCGATATATCGCGATATATTGCGATTTTTTTTGTCCAAAAATTATATTAAATAAAAACCTCTTACAGGGGAAAAAAAAGAAAAACCAAAATTCATTGTCTCAGAAAATTCTAAAATTACATAGACATACTTTTGATACATTTAGCTGTGTTCTGCTTTGTATGCGTTTTATTTTATTTGTTTCATATTTCTTATTTCATCCATGTTTTCAATTATTAGACTAAATTTTGCCAATAAATAGTTTGAAATATTTTTTGCAGCTTTTAGTTTTTAATATTAATTTACAATATGGTCACCCAACACTTAACAATAGCCTCTACCTCACGAAGTAGAGGAGCCAAATGGCTGGCTCACTGCTGCCAACTAGTGGTCAGAGGCTGAACTACAACATAAAAATGAACGGTTGGCAGGAAAGTTGACATTTTAAACCTTAATAAAAAATCGATACAGGGCTTTAGAATATCGATACAGTATCGGGAAATGAAAAATCACGATATTTCAGTGTATTGATATTTTCTTACACCCCTATTTTTAATATGCCACATATTTCTTGAATCAAAATTTTGATTAATGTGTTTTTCTTTTCTTTTCTTAACTGGTGTCAGAGAGTACATTATCTAATTTTATGAGCATCTATCTTAATAATAATATGTGATGCAGGTACACATTAATTTACTTCACTCTCTAGATTTGTTTTGTTTATCGCTGAGTTCAGTTCTTGATTTCAGAAATTAGTTTTGACAAAGGAGGACAGTGATGAAGCTTTGTATTTATTGCCACACATTTCCCCTGTGTTGAAAGCATAAAGTCAGAATAACACAAATTTATGTGCAAAGGACATTTTTTTAATAACTCTGAATATACTGAGCTACAATCCTAGAAAATAAATAAATGCACTTTTAACATGTATTTATTTTTTCTAAGTAAACGCTAGAATTTTAAAAGAGAACTGTATGGTGAAAAACACCCAGTAATTAATTATACTGTGAATGGGTGTTATCGTAATTTAAACAAACAGTTAACATATTTTGCGCTCTTCACTCAACGAATGACTACTAAGGATTAATTTAGCAAAAAGAAGAATAAAAAAAAAGCACTTTACCTTTCGAGATTAGAACCATATGCTTGTTATGGGAATACAAAAATAATATTGCAGCACTTGTCCTTTTAGCACCGGTGACTAAATCATATTAATCAATGGGGAGGCTAGAAAAAAATCCTGCAAGTTAATGAGCAGATATCCGGACGGCATCTCTCCATAAGCTATTTACACTTTTGCTAGCTAGCTCCGGTGATGATGCCTTCAGGTGTTTACCGTATACTTCATATTTTCTTGTATTTTGGCTGTACCAATATCCTAATTGTCTTTACAAAGATATTTACTTTGTCCTGAAGACATAAAGAGTAGTCCCCATCAAATAAGGACCACATTTTTTTTGTAAGATTTGCAAATAAAACTTTTAAATAAACGAYCCAGTTTATCCAGTGTGCATTGATTTTTTTCCCTTACAAAATAATTCAGGCCACCATTTAAACTCAATATTTTGTTATACTTTTAGAAAACTAAAATTGCTAAAATAAGCGACAAGTACAGAATAAAACACTTAAAAGCATATGAATGAGTTTCTAAATTCCGACTACCACAAATCAAACACAAGCTCCTTATTGATGCGTTCGCGTACCTCCGGCGCTCGGGTTGTCAAAGCCATTGAAAACAGTAAACAGAGTCGATCACGTATAAATAATCTTCACATTGCTACTAGTAAACTATTTAGTCTCTATTATTTAGGCACAGAGTGGACAATACGAGGTAATTAACTAAAACAACCATGAATGGTTTAGTTTGAGGGGACTGGTTAAACACTGATACGTGTTTCCATACGGAAGGACTTTTTAGTCGGACACATATGGACGAAAATACCAACCAAATGTTTTGCGAAAATGCCAGGGCTGTCTGAAACGGAACATGCTGGACTAAAACAGATTTTAGGCTCAATGACAGCGGGTGATTTAATGTCACTCAGTGACACAGTCACAAATAAGATGATAGTTGTGGAAAACATTGCAGGTAAGAGACAGTCATTCACTGATGCTTCGAAATATCAGACATTAGTTATAAACTACGATTTTACATTTATTAAAAGGAGCTACTGAGTTGTAAACATGTTGGTTTGCACAGATACAGGCCAGAGGGCCCCGAAAAAAAAAACTTGTGTTATTTAATCGAGACATTGATCATGTTCTTTCACTTTTTTTCTGTCAACAGAAGCCATAGAAACCGTTCTTTCTTTTTCTAAAAATGCCGAAGAGCTCCTTAAAAGGAAGAAGGTTTATCGCGACCTCATATTCAAGTACCTGGCCAAAGAAGGGGTGACGATGCCCCCGAACAGTGAAAAACACCAGCTGGTCAAGAGGGCGTTGGAGCTGTGGGCATCAGTAAAGGTAGGAACCGGAAGTCATGTGATCTTAACCTGCTTTCAGACCTGAGCAGTTTTTTGTTTATAAACCATGCATTAAGTGTTCAAATAACAAACTTAAGAGCCATTTAAAGACTGTTTGGAAAAAATAAAATCTACATAGCTACAGTTTTTTTTTTAAATATATATTTAATATACCATTATATTGATTGCACAGTTCATTACATGTGATTTGATCTTCAAAAGGTTTCAACTATAGAAAAAAAATAATAATAAAACTTACTTAAAACAGGGGATTTGGAAATTAAGCTTCTTAGGGTTGGGCAATGTTGGCAAAAAAGATTAATCACGATTAATTGAGGTATTTAGCGGATAACTGGAGTCCCTGGACACCTGCGTGTTCTAGTCACATGACCACTTTAAATCACTCTAGTGGGAAAGACTTGCTTTCCATAAAACTGTTCCAAATTGTGTCAAAAGTACAGAGTTCTTGCTATACATCAAATTTTAAATTGTGTTGATAGACCAAKTAAAACCAGGGTTATGATAAATAAATTACAGTACTTGAATATGAAAAAAAAAATCACATTTGAAGCAGAGAGGAGCCTCGAGTGGACTGACCGGGGAACTCTCCAGTCGCTCTCCCTGGCAGCATTAATCGTATTAATCGTCAAGTGCCAAAAAATAATCGATTCAAGTTTTTCTGACGATTAATTGCACACGGTACGATTTTGCCCAACCCTACTTCAGATTCATGTGGTAGTAAATTTTAAATTAGTATTTAGTTTGGATGGTCACATAGCAAGGCAATTCACAGTAATGTACCGTATGAACCTGGTCAGATTTTAGTTGTTCTTCTAGTTTCATGACAATACTTTAAATTAACGAGTTTTTACAATGCTTCTTTCATATTAATCTGTTCCTGTCAAGCTAATTGTGTGACCTGTAATAAAAAAGACAGCTTTTTTATTCCATTAATGAGACCAATTGTGTGACATAAATAAATGTATAAATACATTTAATTTAGTAACTTCAAAATCTGATCTATTGTTGCTCTCTAAAAGTGTCTCCATTTGTTTGTAAAAAAAAAAATGCTTGACCATTATGGTTAACAACCTACTCAATGTACAGTGTGTTGTGTGATGAAATATTTAATTCCTTTAAGGTCGATGAGGCCAAAATGCAACAGCCCACAACATCTGAGTCGACAGACACAAAATGTGAGACAGGCTTTGATCCACTGGTCCTGGGCGTCCAGTTCTGCCAGTGGTTCTTTCAGCTGTTAAACAGTCAGAATCCTTCACTTGGCCATCAGCCTCAGGAATGGGGTCCACAGCATTTCTGGCCAGATGCGAAGCTCAGCCTTCTCTCCAGGTAAGAATAAAGCAATTGTKAGAGCGGATCACACTGTGGAGTTTAAAGAAAATACAATTCATCTCTGTAACATATCTTCCTCAGAACTGCCACTGAACAGATGGACGAGTTCCTGGGTGCTGAACTGGTTAGTCTTCGTCTCCTGGCCCTTACCAGTGGAGAACGCCTCTTGTTTAGTCCCAACCTGGAGCCTCACGGCCTTAGGGCCTTGGCCTCTCCTCATGGCCTGGTGCTGGTTGCTGTGGCCGGAACCATCCACAAAGACGCAGCCTGTCTTGGTATCTTCGAGCAAATATTTGGCCTCATTCGCTCTCCGCTGGCTGAAAACAGCTGGAAGATTAAGTTCATCAACCTCAAGATCAGAGGCCAGAGTGCTCTAGAGGGGGCAGAATTAGCAGCACCCAGTCTGAGCTACAACTCCAGTGAACTCCAGCTTCTTTGTAGCTGACGGCAAACAGTTTAAAGACTTTTRTCTCCTCCAGTTTATTTAATGCAGAGATGGTTGTACAGACTGATTACGCTTTACACGTCTTTAAAACAACTTGAGAATGGCAACATTAAAAACTTTGGAGACTTTTAGCTTCAGAAATTAAWCTAGTTTTATTCTATTTTTTGTTTTGTTGTGCTGGAAACTTTTAGTAATATGTTAAATACACTACATATCGATGTAAAATTCGGTATGTTGTTCTTTGAAGCCTGTGCCTTCTGCAAGTTGTACTTTAAATAGAGTTGTGAATATAATATTGTAAATATATAACATACACAAGCAGGAGTCAGACTTGTGTACATTTAAAATTTATTAGCAGTATTTTTTTGCAAACTTAAAAATTGGGTTTATCCAAAGGCCAATAAAATTCAATGACTAAAATAAAGTTTTTTTTATGTAATTACAGCGTTTTGTTTTTATGTTGGGTAAGTATTGTATAGTTAATGGGTATCAATAGATTTAAAGTTGTTTAACTTCAGCTTTTGTACTTGTGTGTATGTTTTATGTTTTTTTAAGGCTCAGACTTGACCACTGGTTTGTAAAAATAATTAGGTTTTGTACAGTGTTCTTTATATAATTACTTATATATACTATTTTCCTTTTTGGAATTATAGGATATTCATAGCTGAATTTTTTTAACTTTATCGTACAGATTCCAGAAGTTTTGTGGTCCTAAATGCCCCCTAATTTTAACACTCAGTGTTAAAATTTGTTTTTGATATCTCAAAGGTGCCTTCAAACACCCTAATCCCAATGTTTCCAATCAACTGGTAATGAGTAGTTGACAGTCCAGTCCAGATTATGCTTAAATATTTGGTGTGTAGGATTCACACCTACACCTTCTTATAAGAAGGTTATAAGGAAAGTATTTTAGCAAGGATCACTTTATTTTCGACAAATATTCTTCCAGAGCAAAATGAATGGACACACAATAAGTGGCTTGAGTCTGAATTTTGATTTGATCCATTAAATGTGATCATTTATGTTATCACACAAAATCACTACAGCGCACTTAATTGTGAGCAATCAATTTCCTATAAAAGTTTGTAACCAACAATAACAAGCACGCTTCGAGCTTCGTTAATTGTCAATCAAGCACTTAAATAGAACACAAACGTCAAGCTTTAGATGTTGAAATACCAGACTTTTGAGGCAAATAACTTAAGTTTGGCAAGGTCAGGGTGCCCATGTGAATCCTACAGGTGTTGAAAGTATCATGGATGCAGGAGACTGTGTAGCTACATTAATMATGACAGAGACTCACAGGGTCCAACAACACAACAGCTGAGCGACGAGCAAAATGAGGCATGATAGACTTCATCTCTGATGGAAATCAGGGTATTTAGACCCAAAAACCTTTCCCCTGCCTCTCAGTAATCATTCCTATTTACAGAATGCAGTCTTCACTGATGTGTTTTACACTACAGGCATTATTTATGCAGCAAAAATGAAAATGTTCATTGTTATCTAACGAGCTTCAAGATGGTCCCTCGTTAATGTCTGAGACTTGATTTTCCTTAGTCACCCTGGAGAGGCCATGCAAGTTGAGATGGGGCATGTTGAGTGCCAGTATGACTCTGTGGCTTTTGTGGAAAATGCTACATGTGGGAAATTATTCTTGGCAGCCTCTCTCAAAGTCCCCTGGAATAGTTAATATCTGTGACTGTACGGGCTGGAGCCACATGCCCCTCTGTGCTTTACAGTACCATAGTTGTGGTGAGTGGGGGGGGGGGACCACTGCAGTCATTGATCTCAGTCTGTTCACCTCTTCCAAAGAATAACAAGCTACTTGCCTTCCCTCTTTATGGCACTATAGGCTTCTCTGTGATTTAATAAGTGGTTTGGGCACGGGAGCAGCACTGACGCACTAGTTCAAAAATACCGCTGCAGTGGCGTCTGGTGATGGTTTTGTTTCCACAAGAGTTTTTTTTCTCTCCTCGTCTAACAGCGAAGTGTGTTTCTCATGAAGAAACATGCTAAAAACCTTAGACTTGTGGCTTTTTTCAAATAATTTGCGGGTGTTGAACCATAAAAAGGCTTTCTTTAATTTTRAATCCATATTTTTCGTTTATGATTGATTGGATGTTGGTTGGGCTTCAAGAAAAAGCCACATTAAGATCAAAGTTGACTTTATTAAACACTTTATGTGGACAGTTTGATAGCTTTTTACATCTTATTGATTACTATTTATTGCCTGGCTGCCACCAAAAGACATAGCTGGATGGTAAGGTTTTTGCCTGCGTGTGTGCATTTGTCTGTGTGTAACCAAACCTATCTCATAAACCACTGAAAATACTTTAAGAAAACTTTCAGATATTAGTCATCTGATGCACATCTAATCTGATTAACTTTTGGAGTCAGCCATATTCAACACAACTGCTATGGCCAGCTGACCTTAAAAAACACTAAAATGACTACAACTCTGTCAGTTTTACAGATATTTCCCTAAAATTTGATGTGATGGTTGCTGAGACTCATCCCCAACACATGCTATGAACACTAATATATTGGGCAAGATGCTTGCTTATCTACACCTGATTAACCTTAGGAATCAAATCAAATCTAGATGGCTGCCACAGGTAATTAGTCAACACAAAAATGTATTTAAAGCTATGTTTTTTTTTTTCAGAAATATTGAGCTAGAATGTGACATGGTAGGAGCTAGGAGTCATTTACAATAGTTTAGTTCAAAGTTTATTCATTTAAAAACAACACAAATTCAACATATGACAAAAACACAAATCACAAATTAAACTAAATGAAAGGTAGCAGAAGAAGAAAGAGTCTTGTAATCTCTGCCCCTTTTTTCACAAACAAACAAATTCAAAGAAAATATTCTTCACTTTACAATAAACAGAAATAATAATGTCCTATTAAAAACATACAAATTTTACAT